CAAATTGCAGAGTAAATTCTATCATATTATGGTCACTACCTCCTAAGGGCTCCTTCATCTTAAGCTCCCCTATCAAGTCTGCCTTATTGGACATCACTAAATCCAGGATTGCCTGTTCCTTAATAGGCTCCACCACAAGCTGCTCCAACAAGTCCTGTTAGAATTTCATATGATTCTACGAAATCACCCTTATTCTTCTAAGCTTCAGTGAGTATAGTCATAATCAATCCAGTCTCTCTTCAGTTCTGCCATCTCAAGAATCAGTCTGATAAACTTTTAGTGCAATCTCTCCTTAGTCAGGACATTCTTCCTCAGATAACAAGACCAAAACTGCACACAATACTCCAGGTATGGTCTCACCAAGGCCTTGTACAATTGCAGCAAGACATCCCTGTTCTTGTACTCTAATCCTCTCACCACAAAGGCCAGCACACTGTTTGCCTTCTTCATAGCCTGCATGTTTATTCTTAGCAACTGGTGTAGAAGGACACCAGGTCTCATTGCACCTCCCCAATCCCAATTTACCACCATTCATTTAATAATCTGCCTTCCTGCTTTTGCTACCGAACTGATAACCTCACATTTATGCGCATTATACTTTATCTGCTGTTATGGACCAGACCAGACCCCCTCAATATATTTTAAGAAGTTAGCCTAGACCGTAACATTTTCTTATTTTAAAAGGTAGATGTGAAGTGTCGTGTTCCAGACGCAATGCGACTAGTCAAATTACTTGATATTAAACAAAATACAATTTATTTGAACCCTATAGTTAGAATACAAACAAAAGAAAGAGGAATTCAGAATAACTTAACTATTGGAAAAACTTTATCTATTATTCTGTTAAGTTACTATTACTAATTAACTGTTCTAATATAGTTACATCCTATAAACACATACCATGGCAAAAAGGAAAATTCAGGCACAGATTCTCCCATGCAGTTCTCCAATCCAGGAGGGAAAAAACATCAAGAGAAGAAACAGAGAGTGCAGCAGCCAGGAGACATTCACTGAAGCACCAAATCTTTTGAGACTCCATAGGCTTCTGCTTAAAAACAAACTTAATAACTCTAAAAAAAAAACTAGGGAGCCTCGTCTGAGAGAGCTGGCCACAGCCAAGCTGCTTTCATTGTTCCAACTTTAAAAAAAAAATCCCAAGGCCTCACAAATTATTTAGTTTCTCAGAAACAGTGCTTCCACCTTGCAACCTTTCGAAAAAAAACCAAGACACAATAACCTTTTAAAGTGATAGCATCACCACACTGCCAAGCATTTATTCATTCATCAATTTGTCCAAATCAAACTGAAGCATCTCTGTATCCTCCTTACAGCTTATCCTCCCACCCAATTTTGTCAATAAAGCTTCTAATATGTTAGAATAATGTGAAATCTTCTTGAATCATTCTTTTCTGCTATTAACCACAGGTTGTCAGAAATGAGTCTGTACATGGATCATAACAGATGCCAATTGATAAGTTGCACGTTTCCACAAATCACCTATATTGAATATTTCAAACATTTATATTTTTGTTTTTGATTGTTTGAAAGTGATACTTCTAAGAATATATTTACAGGTTGAGAAGACACTAGAAACCCTAGTATCTACAGCTAATCAGAATCTTTGACATAATGTTCAGCTTGCAATAATCAAAGATGATGCAGGAGAGATGAAAAACTTGGAGTTATTTTCACCCAAAGGCTGGTGGGAATCTGAAATACACTGCCAAGGGGAGTAGTTGAGGCAGGTAACCTCATAAGTTTTAAGAAGTATTTGAATGAGCACTAGAAATATCATAACATTCAATGCTAAGGGCCAAGTGCTAGAAAGTGGAATTAGTGAAGATAGGTCGGTGCAGACTTAGAATCCCTACAATGTGGAAACAGACCATTCAGCCCAACAAGTCCACACCAACTCTCCAAAGAGCATCCCACCCAATCCCTGTAACCCTGCATTTCCCATGGCTAATTTACACATCCCTGGACCCTATTGAAACTTAGCATGGTCAAACCACCTAGCCTGCACATTTTTGGACTGAGGGAGGAGATCAGAGCACACCCACGCGGACATAGGCAGAATATGCAAATTCCACATAGACAGTCACCCAGGGGTGGAATCGAACCCGGGTCGCCGGAGCTGTTTGGTGGCAGTGCTAACCACTGAGCTACCGTGCTGCAATGGGCCAAAGTCCTTCTTCTATGATTTAAACTGCAAGTTTATAGCAAGCTATCCACATCATTTACAAATCACATCTTTGCAGAAAGGTAGCCTCGTGAACAATTTCACACAATTATTGGAGTGTTGTGAAGGAGAGGCATCAAGAACCACGAGCCCAGTCAACGAAAAAAAAAATCAAGGACAATAAAAGATTGGGCAATATACCCTAAAAACTCGACAATAAATTGTGTTGGGAATATTCATTGAGTGTAAAGCGAGAAAGAGTCCTTTTGTTTGCTCCTGGCCTCATCCCTTAATGGTGCCTACTGGTGTGGTGGTCCAAGAGGAAAACAGGAAACTAACCAGGGCTGCAAGACTCTGTATCAGCATCTGCCAAAAAATCTTACAAAAGATTATTAGAAGCAGAAATAGTAGAAGTAAAATACTGAGTGAAACTAGAAAGGGAGGAGATTCAGGAAAGGCTATGTTTTGTGCACGCAAGTTACTCAGTCTGGATGGCTAATATCTCAGGCTGCTGAAGGGAGTGCAAATGGAGATAGTGTAATGGCTTATCATAAGGAAGTTTGGAAAACTATGTATGCAGAAAATGCCAGGGGATTGGACAGTGACGAATCTGGCATCTTATTCATGAAACATAGAAAATAGGAGCCGAGGTAGGCCATTCAGCCCTTTGACCCTGCACACTATTCTATACAATCATCATTTATCATCGAACTCAATACCCTATTCCTACTTTCTCCCCATACCATTTTGATCCCCTCAGCCCCAAGAATTATATCTGGCCTCAACGACATTCTGTTACAAAGAATTCCACAGGCTCACCACTTTTTGGCTGAATCAATTTTCATATGTCAGTCCTGCCATGCCAGGAATCAGTCCAGTAAACTTTTGTGGTACTCTCTCCATAGCTAGAACATCCTCTCTCAGACAATGAAACCAAAACTGCATACAATATTCCAGGTGTGGTCTCACCAAGGTCGTGGGCAATTACAAAAAGACATCCCTACTCCTGTACTCCAATCCACTAATAATGAAAGAAAACTTGCCACTTGCCTTCTTCATCACCTGCTGCACCTGCACCAGCACCATTACTTGGAGCAAATGGTATGTGTAGTGATTGCAATGAGGCCAGCCAGCTGAATCTCAAAGAATGCAAGTTCACTGATGAGGCTGTTAATCTGGTCCAATCAGGGAGCGCTGGTTGACTTAAAAAGGTGGACTGTCAAGGAATACTGACTCTGTATGAGGCAGCACTATTGTTAAGGGCTGTTCATGTTCAAATAAAAGGTGAATTGGTGACAGGTTACTGGCCTCTGTAGAATTATACTTGGGTACCCAGGTCTTGTTGCATCCTCCTCCTTCCCCCAAACTATCATCATTCGGTTAACAATCTGCCTTCCTATTTTTGCTACCAAACTGGAGAACCTCACATTTATCCACATTATACTTCACTTGCCATGCATTTTACCACCCACTCAACAGCTCTTTTTATACATTTATGTTTGATGTAGCTCCTTGCCAAATGTTTTTATTTAAAGTCTAAGTAGAGTACCTCCACGAGATTCCCTTATCCATGTTACTTCCTCATCTCTATCAAATCTCTCTCATCCTTCTCTCAGGAGAACAGCCTCACGTTCTACAATCTGTCTAGATAATTGAAGTTTGGGAGGAGGTGATGGCCAAGTGGTATTATTGCTGGACTATTAATCAAGAGATTTAGATAATGTTTTGGGGGCCCAGTTCAAATCACGCCATGGCAGATGATGGAATTTGAATTCAATAAAAATCTGGAATTAAGAATTTACTGATGACCATGAATACATTGTTCATTGTCGGAAAAACCCATCTGGTTTGTTGTTTAGGGAAGAAAACTGCCATCCTTACCTGGTCTGGCCTGTGTGTGACTCAAGATCCACAGGAAGGTGGTTGCATCTTAAGTGTCCTCTAGCCAATTAGGGATGGGCAGTATATGCTGGCTCAACAAGTGGAGCTCTCATCCCATGAATGAATAAAAATCTAAGTCGACACGAGACCCACTCTCCAGAACTAGGCCCAAGGCCTTCAACACTGACACTTCAAGTGCTCTCTTGTTCCCAATGCATTCGAGACAACTACCACCCTCAGAGGAAAAAAAGTTTCCTCAAGTCCCTTCTAAACCTCCTGCTTTTCACTTCCTGCTCCCTTGTTATTAACTCTTCAAATAAGAATCATAGAATCTCTACAGTGTGGAAACAGGTCATTTGGCCCCACAAGTCCACACCGCCCCTCCAAAACAGCATCCCACCCAGACCCATTCCCCTACCCTGTAACTCAGCATTTCCCATGTCTAATCCATCTAACTTACACACCCCTGGACACTACGGGCAATTTAGCATAGCCAATCCACCTAAACTGCATGTCTTTGGACTGTGGGAGGAAACCGGAGCACCCGGAGGGAACCCACGCAGACACGGGGAGGATGAGAAAACTCCACACTGACAGTCACCTGAGGATGGAATCGAACCCTAGTCCCTGGCGCTGTGTGGCTGCAGTGTTAGCCACTGAGCCACCATGCCGTACCGTGGTCTCTTAGTTTAACAGTGTCCCATGTGGGATCGAATCAAGAACCTTGCTGAAGTCCAAGTAGGCTACATCAAATGTATCGCACCGTATCTACACACCCAGTCACCACTTCAAACAATTCAATCAAGTTGATCAGACATGACCACCCTTCAAGAAAACCATGCTCTGCGTTCTTGATTAATTACTGCCTCACCAAATGCAGATTAATTCTATCCCTCAGAATTGCTTCCAAAAGTTTCGCCACCACCAAGGTTAGACTGACCGGTCTGTAGTTTCCTGGTTTTCCTTGCTCACTTCTTGAATAACGGTACCACAATGGCTGTCCTCCAGTTCTCCAGCACCTCTCCTGTAGCCACAGAGAAATTGAAAATATTTGTAAGTGCCCATGCTATTTCCTCCAATGCCTCACTCAACAACCTGGCATTCTTTTCACCCAGCCCTGGAGACTGATCTAATTTTAAGCCTGCCAGACCACTCAGGACCCTGTGTATGCTAATTTCTTAAATTGTATCACAGACCTTCTCCCCGATTTTTATACCCATATTGTCCCTCTCACTAGTGAACACCAACCCAAAGTATTTATTTAGAAACCTTCCTACAGCCTTTGGCTCCATGCACAAATGACCACTACGGTCCTTATGCGGCCCTACTCTTTCCCTTGTTATCCTTTCACCCTTAATACACCTGTGAAACAACTTACTCTTGGTTAGACCACATCTAGAGTACTCAATGTAGTTCTGAATCATAGAATCCTTACATTATGGAGGCAGACCATTCAACCCATCAAGCCTACACTGACCCTCCAAACAGCAACCACCAAGGCCCACCCCTCCTACCTGTAACCCTGCATTTACGATGGCTAACCCACATAGCCTACATATCCTTTGATTGTGGGAGGAAACCGAAGCACCTGGAGGAACCCACACAGATGTGGGGAAAATGCGCACATTCCACACAGTCACCTAAGGGTGGAATTGAACCCGGGACCCCGTCAGCAGCGCTAACCACTGAGCCACCGTGCCGCCCCTTTATGGTCTCCTGATCTCTGGAAATATATTCATGTCATAGAGTGCATGCAATGAAGATTCTTCAGATTTGTTTCTGGGATGGCGGAACTGTCCTATAATGAGACCCTGAGCAAACTGGCCTTGTATTCTCTAGATATTCGAAGAATAAGAAGTCATTGAAATTTACAAAATATTTCATAGTATAGGCAGGGTAGATGCAGCTGAGGTATTTCCCCTGGCTGGGGAGTCTATTTAACAATTAGGGTGAAACCTGAGATAGGGAAATTCTTTATTCAAAGGGTGGTAAATCTTCTGGAATTCTCCACTACATAGACCAGTGGAAGCTCAGTCTCTGATTTTGTTTATGGTAGAGATTGATTTTGGGCAGCCATGATCATACTGAATGACGGTGAAGGCTTGATAGGCTGAATGACCTACACCTGGTCCTATGTTTCAGATCTTGATCTGCAGCCTTGTAGGTTCTGGTATTTCAAGTGCATATCTGATTTTTTTGTGTGTGGTAAGGTTTTCTGCTTTTGCCACCCTTTTAGGCAGTGAGTTCCAGATCCAACTACTCTTTGGGTAACACATTCCCCTTGAATTACCTCTGAACTTCCAATTTCTTAACTAATCTGCACCCCTAATTATGGGCCCCAGGACCAAAGAGAATACAGCCTTCCTGCCCATTGTACCAGAATCCGTCATAATTTTATACACTTCAATTAGGCCTCCCTTCAGCCTCCTCTAGAAAGCAACTAGCACCCATTCAATCCTTCTTCATAACTAAAATCCTCCAAACTAGACAACATTCTTGTAAATCTTCTCAAATGCAATCAGTTCTTTCCTACAGCACGGTGACCAAAACTACACACAGGACTCCAATTCTCATCAAATTGAAGATTTATTCAGTTCCAGCAATAACCTGCCGGCTCTTGTACTCAATAGCTCTGCTAATAAAGTGGTCAGTAGCCTGTTTGCATTCTTAACCATTTTCCCTCCCTATTCAGCCATTTTCAGGGATCAACAAACACCAAAACACTTCTGTTCCTAAACACCTCATACTTTTCTAATAGTCATTGTGTATTCAGTTCCCAAAGGCTCTACTTCATACTTTTCCAGAGTGACTCCATTCTCCAATGTTTCATCCACCTGACTAGTCCATTGATAGCTTCCTGCTGTTTACAGTTTTATCATTATCAGCAACATAATCAAAATTTGTATTGTATTCAAACATCTTAAGTAAACAGCCCTTCTCCTCTGCATTCAAGTGCTAATCATTGATATAACCCACGATCAGCAAGGGATCTAGTACTGAGCCCCGTGCTAATAATCCTTCACCTTCAATAGCCCTCCTTAAAAAATCATACCACACACAAACATTCCTGAACAAATCCTTACCGACTGTGATTAATCTCTGTCTTTCTAAATTAAAATTTATCATTTGGTCAGATTTTTCTCCAACAATTTTCTCACCACCAAGGTTAAGTTTCTTGTTCTTTCATTGCTCGACCTATCCTCTTTTTTAACCAATGGTACCACACCAGCTGTTCTCTGGTCCTCTGGCACCTCATGCGAGGCCAGGAAGCATCCACTGTTTCTTCTTTCACTTCTTTTGAATCCTGAAATATATTTCATCCGCCAGTGGCAGTATATTCACTTTCAAAGGTGTGATATCCTTCAATACCTCCTGTCTCATTGTTAGTATCATCCAATATTTCACATTCCTCCTCCCTGATTGTAATGTCAGTACTGTCTCTATATTTTGTGGAAACATATTTAAATTATTTGTTATAAGCTCTGCTCAACCTCTGCCTCCACACAAAAGTTATGGTCTTTAATAGTGACCGGTCTGATGAATACTAGGCCTGAAACGTTAACTCTGATTTCTCTCCACAGATGCTGCCGGACCTGAAATTTTCCAGCAATTTCTGTTTTTGTGTCTGATTTCTAGCATCCACAGACCTTTTGGTATTTTTTTAATAAAAGGTTTGCTGTAGTTTCATGATTATCGTCACTTAGACTAGATGTCAATTACAGATTTTATCAATTGAATTTAAATTCCACGAGCTGCCATGGTGAAATTTGAACTAGTATTCCCAATGGATGAGCCTGGCCTCTGGATTAACACTCCAGTGACATTATCACTTCACCAATATTTCCCCCTATTAATATGACCATATTGTTTTTGTACTTCTCAGAGATTTGCCTTCATATTTATTCTTCTATATACCTTTGGGGTCTCTCAGTTATCTGATTGTGGTTTGTTCTTCACTTAAAGTGGCAGGTTCTCATTAGATTCCTAGAATCATAGAATCATGAGAGAATCTTACAGAAGAGACCTTTCAGCCAATCACATCTGTCCTACCAAAGCTAAACTAAATCTACACTAGTCCAACCTTCTAACACTAAGCCCACAGCCATCAATGTTATGACATTTCAAGCGCTCATTCATGTACTTTTTGAAGGCAGTGTGGTTTCCCACCTCAACTATCCTCTCAGGAAGTGCCCTCTAAACTCCCACCATCCTCTGGGTAAAACATGTTTTCCTCAAATCCTCTCTAAACTTGCTGCCATTCACCTTAAAATTATGCCCCTTCCCTCAGACTCTTCAACGGAGGGCACAGCTGTTTTCAATTCAATCTGTCATGCACCCCTCCCCCTGACCCCCATAACATTATCAGCTGTTAACAGAGTTACTACAATTACTACACACATTGATGCTAAAGGTTAAACCCTACAACGGCACTGGTGATGAAACAGCAAGTTACCTACTTGGGAATGGTCCTGACACCTGGGAAAAGAGAAATTGATAAACAAAAGATAGAGACAGTTAGAAACCTTCCCATTCCCAAGACCTAAAAGGACTGCAATCATTTCTAAGTTGAGTGGATTACTATAAGGATCACATTGATAGATTTTCCACAAAATGTGGCCCCTTTAATGGAGTTATTAAAAAAAAGTGGTTTGGGAGTGAAAAACAAAATATACCCAGGGTGTTACGGCTCTGAAACAAGCATCTGCTTTATGAATTCCAAATCCAACTGAGCCACTACTGATACCACCCTCTTGGCAGTTCTATTACACTAGACACATCAGAAACTAAGACCAATCGCGCATGTGTCGTGTATGCTTTCACCATAGGACATAGAACATAGGACATTACAGCGCAGTACAGGCCCTTTGGCCCTTGATGTTGCGCCGAACTGTGAAACCAATCTGAAGCCCATCTAACCTAAACTATTCCATTATC